CCCTACTCAGGTCCCTGGATCTCAAAGCATGGATCCCAGACCAGCAGCATCAGCATCAACTGGAAACTTGACAAAAATACAAATATTCTGTCCCTCCTCCCCCAGCTCTGGGGACCCGGGGTGGCGGGTGGGGGGTGGGCAACACTCTGTACTGTAACCAGCCCTCCTGGGGACCCTGATTCATACTAGAACTTCTGCTCTGAGTCCTGGAGACAGTGAAGAAGAACCCCAGATCACCCCCAAAGGTGTCTTAGTGATGCCAGGAATTCCACCATGAGTACCTGTGTTCGCACCATCACCTTTGGTGCCAGTATTACGGAACGAAGTGAACCTGAGAGTCTCACACTGACACCCCAAAGAACGGGGGAAGATCTTGAACGATAAGGGACTCTAGCAAAGTTCACGCCAATCACAGTCAAGTCGTTGTTACTTACCTGCTGTTGCCATGGCAGGAATGTGCACTCGAAGTTGTCTGATGTTCCTATTTTCCTGGGGACTATCTGAATGTGCCTGTGAATAATCTACCTATTTCAACAATGTTTAAATACTTGATGAACCAAACACAACTTGTCTGCAAATGCAACTCGGCCTTCTGACTCACCAGTTTAAGATGGGAATGTTGATACCCTTCCTACTCCACCCAACGCGTTCCCCAAAACTGTGAAATAGTAATAATAATACTATAAATGGTGGCAATCCTTTTTTTTTTACTTTTAATTTTATTTTTCAATTGCAGTTTACATCCCATGTTATTCTGTATTCATTTCGGATGTACAGCAGAGTGGTTAGACAATCATTTACTTTGCACGGCGTCCCCCTCCGACCTTTCCGGTACCCACCTGGCACCATGGAGGTCCTTCCTTGATGGTATCACACACTCATTTTCTCTTTTAACTCTTTTGTCCCCTCTTAGGCACGGGCCATCATCGTTCCATTTCACAGATCAGAGAGCTAAGGCTTCCAACCCCAAACTACTTTGCTCACAGCCGCACAGCTGGCAATCAGTGACAGCCGGGACTCCTGAGAACTGGTCAATCTAAAGTTCACACTCTTACCAGCAGCACTGGCTGACCGCATCTTTGGTTAGTTCTCCTGGCACTTGCGACCCTTCGCGTCTTCGCTCACAATCAGCCCCATGCTTGTCAACGGTGCTGTCTAGTCCTTATCTCTTCCTCTCGGCCCAGCACCTTTCATAGCATCTGATATCCGATTGCCTCAAATGCAGTGGCGAAGATGTGGAACAAAAAGGCACAGGGTGCCACTTCTGCCCTCAAAGGACACTGCGTGTGCAAGTCAATGAGTCGATGCTCAGAAACCTGGTTGATTGATCACTAAAAACGCACAGCCTTCGTTGAGGCATCTGGGTGGAGGGGTACAGAGACCTCCCCTGTTCTGCTTCGTGCGGTTTGTTACAGGACGTTCCCTGTTTCCTACTCTGAACATACAGCAGCTTTGTGGTCAAAAGAAAGGAGGCTAAAAGTAATGGCTAAAATCAGATGGGGGATATTTTCATTTTCTTATCATGCCCCTTTCCCTTCTCAATGCCCCAAAAATAAAGATGGTAGAAAATGAGTTGACATTGTAGAAGCTACAGAACTTGCAGAACTTACTCTTCAAGAAGCAGTACAGTGGTGGGGTTAGGGATCTGGCTGGATGGCACCCACAAGTGCAAGCTGGTATTACTGTTACGGAGTGTTTATTTTTAAACAAATTTCCCATTTCTCCTCGCACACACAAAGCACCAGCTACCCGCTGTTGCCAAGACTGCCTTATTCTTCCTAGCCCGTTTGTTGTGCTTTTCATAAAACATTTTCCACAAGGAAAGAACATAAGCTCCATGTGGCCATAAAGGTGTTTACATTGGTAACAATCAAGTCTAACTTCTAAACTTTGTGTTTTCTAAAGCACATGAACATTTTCCAGGTACAAGGATTGACAAGTGAGCCCTTACTATTTTAAGGAATTACCAGACACATAAACGCCAACTCGTCAAAATGGAAGCTATAGAAATAATATTAAGCCTAACCGTGGCCACATACTAGACAACTTCTGTTACCTGCTTTGAGCTGGCTGCTGGAGCAGTGCTCTGTCTACATTATGTCCTTTAATCCTCACGACTAAATGAAATGAAGTTGCATTAAACCCACTGTATAGCTGAGGGGGTGTAGGTGAACAGCAAGTGTATGATTAACTTGCCCAGAATCTTAAACAGTTGCAGGTCAGCTCAACAATGGAGCCCCCACTTGTCCTTCCAAAAGTATTATCTTGTATGAAATCATAGTAGGTCAAAGTCACGGCAATTCTCGGAAATGTGGCAATGAGCCAAGTTAACATTCTTCACACAGTCCCAATTTTTTTTTGCCCCTTTTTGAGTGTGCATGCTTTGTTTAAAAATAATGTTCTCTTCCATAATCACAGTGTAATTATCAAAATCGTGAAATTAGCATTGATACAGTACCATTGTTTAATCAACAAACATTATGCAAATTTTTCCTATTGTCCAATTAATGTTCTTTATGGGAAAAAATTTTAAATCCCATCCAGGGTCCCACTCGGATGTTGCACCCAATGTTTTAAAAGTATAATTTCTTGTGGGTGTTATTTTTGATGCGTTAAACAAGAAAGCTGCCCTTGGCATTGTGATTTTCGTGTTTTTTCTGGGCTGCAATTTGTCCACCTCACATAGTCACCTGAGTGACAGGTGATTCACGGAGAAAAGTCCCACGCACGTTCCCTAAATACACTACATCTTGCATTCACTACCTCATCACTATCGAGCCAGAAGGACGCCATTTCTATTACCTAAATCGTCCTCCATTTCTCTGCGTTCTGCATTACCATCTGCTACATATATTCCAACGTGCATTTGTTTTTAGTTCTAGTTCGAGGGGCCAAGACCTTGATATATCCCTTTGCTGGCAGCTCTGGAATTTCCCAACTACATCAGGAGCTGGCGGGCACCTGACTGGAAGAGCTAATCCCTAAGGATGTGGGAAGAAGTCACCTTGGTAAACATCTGCTTAAATATCCTGCTTTCCCTTCCCATCCGAATCCCATAATTTTTCCATATAGGAAACACGCAACATTAAAAGGGCAGCACCTCCCCAAACCCGGATTTATTTTTGTCTCTTAAGGAGATGGCAGTCACATTGTGCTCTGAACGGCCCCATCCCTGGCCTGCTAAGTGCTGTCGTTCTTTCAGAAGCAGCCCCTCTTCGGGGGACTAATTTGTGGTCAGGGAGGTCTCACCCCACCCCACCCCCCTTCCTAAGAGCTTATGAAAATCGGCAGGGTGCATGCACCTCGAGATCACACCCCAACTCTGGAGACTCAACACCAGCCCCTGGGTCAGTGAGGACAGAACACACAGCCGGCTGCGAGTAGGGAAGCGTGGCTGGGGCTTAAGAATTTCAAAGTAAACCATTCTTGGACATCCAGTCTTGAAATTGGCCCTCAGGGAGCCAGTCGGAGGGACCATACATTTTTGAACGTGGTATATGATTTCTTTTTTCCTTTTTCAAATGACCGTGTACATCACCCCCTCTGCCTTGTATTGTAAGCACTATAATTAGCACCATCCAAACAATGTAGCCACAACTAAACCAGATTATCTCCGTGGACTTAATCTCGCGAGAACAAAGACATCCATTCAGTTGGCCCTGAAATCCGATTTAATACATAAACATGAAACGGGAAAGTCAACAGTCTTGGTAACTTTAACACAATCATATGATTTTTTTTTTTAAGTGCAATATGCCAAAGAAAGGCGAATGTCTTAAAAAATCAGAGAAAGGCCATCAACGCGCACTCTCCTCCCGTTTCTCACTCACGGACTTCCCAATTCAGGACCAGCCCCTGGAGCTGCCGCTGCTGCTGCGGAAGGCTTTTTAGCAGAAATTGCTTTGTGTCCCCCAGCTGTTTGTGAATTCCGACCCCTCCCAGAGCCAATGTCCTCTAAGCTGGTTTCTTCCATCCAGATATAAATACAAACCTGCGTTCAGTAACAATACAGCCTGTCGCTCGAATAGCAGTTCATGTTAGAAGTAAAATCAGAGATGCGTCTTAAAGACGCAAAGTAACGAGGCTCACATATTTCCCCCCTTCCCCTCCCCCCGCCCCCCTCCTCCGGCCTCCCTTGTATTATTTTGTTTTGACAAGCCCAGGCGTGTGTTTTTCTTTTTTTCTTTTATACATGGCAATCCGAGTTTTAGGTACGTTTATTTTATGTTTAAGATCCAGTATGTTCGAGTTTTCTAGGGGCCCTTTTGCTTTCTGTTTCGACTATTAATTACAGTCTCGTTCAGTCCTCAGTAAGCTGCCCCTATCGGTAGAGTCTCAGGAGCTGTAAAAAGAGCCAGCATATTTATCAAAGGCGGAAAAAAAATAAAGAAAATTAAGACAGTACTAGAGCATATTGGGTATATAAACTGTTCTTCCTGAAAAGATAAATGATTTGCTAATGAATAGATCCTTTAGGCCATAAAAAATCCATTTATTTTCGTTTGAATTTGAATAGAAGAGATTTGCATTTTTTTTCGGAGCAGTTACATGTGAATTAAAATGCAGAGCATGAGGCTAGTACACAATCAAACTCAATAATAACCGGGACATACTGTATTATTCATAAAAACAAAATTAATAGTTTGGGGAAAGGAAGCATTGTGGCAGGGAAAAAATGTACATCGGCACCAAGCCCCTACTGTCAGAGAAGAAAATAAAGCCGGTTAGACTACCAAGGAATTGGTAATAGAAGTTCGGCATTTATTCTTACGTTATTCGGGGAACAGGGGGGAACAGGGGGGAACAGGAAATGTCTGCTTTTCTGATAACAAAATGTTCAGAATGTTTCTCTGTGTGTTGATGTCCAATTATATATACAAAGAGAGTCAACAGTTATATCCTCAAAGCAGAGTAGAATCAAGATCGCATTTCCCCCCCAAAAAAATACATATTTCAAGTAAATGTTTTGTTGGGGTTAGTCTGACCGTGGGGACTGGCTCAGAACAAGCAGGTTGAGCAATAACGCCCCCATGGTCTTTGTGTCTATTTTTTCTCCCCATCCCCCCACACGCCTGGGAGAAAGTACCCCAAAGCCTTTGATTGCCATTAACCTACCATGGAGTTTGCTGAGAGATAGTCTGACAAAAGTGAAGAACTACACACAGGCTATCGTGGAGGGTCCTAAGAGCGGGAACAGAGGGAGCAAGCACGTTTCTTTGGATTGAGGGAATAACCTAAGGTAAGGAGATCTCCACGGCACGCATTCCAAACTTCAAAAAAGAGAAACTGTGAGGGGGTGTGCAGGGTGGAGGGGAACGAAGGGGGGGAATGGGACAACTGTAATGGCATAACCGATAAAATATATTATTTTTTTAAAGTGTGGTAAACACAAGGTGGTCACAGGGGCCGTGCAGGTAGGTTGGTGAGCCAGGTGGGGGCTATGGCCGCCCCGCCCCCCACAGCCCTGTGTTGCCCTGTGGCGAAGAGTTGCCCAGAGCTTGGTGTGGTCAAGAAAAACCAGAAATCCAGATTTTAGGTAAAAGCTTACTTTAGAAATGTTGGGAACTATTTCAAAATGTTTATTCCCTGAGCAAAAAAGAAAGAAAGAAACAAAGACAGTGGGCTAACAAAGCCCTTCCCACCTGTTTGCTGCCTCTACTAACAGAAAACGTGAAAATGCAGAAAAGAACCTGTACTGAAACCTATCGTGACCTAAGAGTAGCTTCCTGAATTACTTTGGCTGACTAGTCTGTCACTGATACAATGAACACTTTACTTTTTAACTTAGCGGTGTCTCATTTATTCATTTAACTGTGTTGCATTGAGTTTCCACTGTGTGCCAGGAACTAGGTGTCGTCTGCCCTGCTCTTGCCTGGAGGGAAGTCCAGCATCAGAAGCCTGTTCTTTGGGACAGACGCAGGCACTGATCCCAAAGAGGGACCTGATGCAGGTTTGGAAGACAGTGTTCTCTCCTAAATCAGCAGGCTGTTTTTCGTCCTTTAGGTAATTACATTTTTTATTTCACAGATTCATAGCTATTTAAAAGAGACTCATTAAGGATTTCCCAAGCATTGGGAAAAAGTGAAACCTTTTCTCATTTGTGCTCATATTACAGTGTTGAGATTGAATTTTCTCTCTCTGCTGCTTAAAAACACAAGCGCTTCTCACTGGCTGGGTGGCACAGGCGGTTGCGGCGTTGTCATCCCGAACACCAAAAGGGTTGCAGGTTCGATCTCCGGTCAGGACACATACCCAGGTTGTGGGTTCAATCCCAGGTTGGGGCACATGCAGGAAGCAGCTCATCAGTGTCTCCCCCACCCTCCACCCTGGTCTCTGTTTTCCTCTCTCTCTCAAATTGATAAACATATCCTCTGGTTAGGGTTTAAAAAACACACGCACACAAATAATTCCCTGAAATGGACATTTTTGGTTATCTTTTGGCATTATCTGGACAAAAGGGAAGAGTAACTAGTTTCTGTACTGAAGCCTTTTTTTCCTTGGAAGTGATCAAATTCATAACAGAACTAACCTTTTCTTCCTACAGACTATGTACTTTGCCATCTGTAATGCACACCCACGTTTTTTGTGCTCATTATACGCGGGACTCTCATTCCCACTATTTTACCCATGGTGGGTAATCATTATACCCACGTGTAATTCTCTTCCTTATTTTTCCCTCAAAAATTTGGGCAAAAAAAATACACGTTATTCATGGTATAATACAGTACATTGAAGTGGGGGTTGAGAGTGGTCTTTCTTATAAATGGGTTAAAAATACAGGTATCAGAAGAAGCAATTTCTTGCACCCTTAGCATGAGGGTAATTTTGTATCACCTTCTGGAAGGCATTTGGACAATAGGAAACCAAATATAGGTGCCCATTGTACCTACAGACCAATACAGGTACACTTTGATGCCTAAGGGCTTACGTTTAAGGGCTCTAGCTTAAGGAAGAACATCTCTTCAATGTGAAAAGCCAATACACAAGGGTGTTTACACAGAGCCCAAGGTGCGATGATCATAAATTACAAACAGCCGGAAGGTCCCTCAAAGGGCCACATAAAATATGGCACAGACACAAAATGGAATATTTTGTCATTAACAAATATAATATCAACCTATGTTTATTATTGCAAAAAAGGTCTACAACATGCAACACAGAATTTCGGCAAAATTACTGTGTCCAAGCAATCAAGAATGATGTTCACCAAGATGCAAAAACCGCCCTTTTCTCGTTTAACTTTTTAAATTCCTTATATACATGAAATTGTGCAGTATTATGCTTATTTCATTTAGCATAATATCCTGTAAGTCCATCCACATCCCAAATGGCAGGATTTTGTTCTTGTTTATTGCTTAGTAATATTCCATTGTGTGTGTGTATACACACATATATATCACATATTTTTATCCATCGGTGCTCACAATGTAGAATACATAAAGGTCAAATCAGTATGTTATACCCCTGCAATACAATATTGTGTGACAATACTGCGTTTTAACAAAAATTTTTTAAAAGTTCCATTTTCTGTGAAGCTGAATAATTTTTACTGTCATTGTGCTTTTCTGTAAAGCCAAACACAGGTGGTTTAAACAACAACAAAAATCTCTTTCCCAAAGAATTAAGAATGTACAAAGCAGAGAAACAACACGGGTGTGGCATGGGGATGAGGAGAAACAAAAAAGCATAAACAAGGAAGCTGAAGAAATAACCTTGTGAATTAAATTAGAGCGGCGACCCCAGATTGAGTACTAACCGCGCAGCTTTCGCTACGCACAGGCGCCACGCGACTCTGGGCAGGCTCGCCCTTTGCACCTCGGCTCGGCGCCCCATGGCCCTACCCTGGACGGGGACAGGACTGAGAGGACCAAAAGCCGTCGCCGTTTTGGTCACACTGCACAAGCAGTAAACAGCACCGTTTTTTGCTTCCTGGCTCTAGCTGCTATTCGCCAGGTCTCCCGCTGTTCATGATTCAGCCTTCGAAGCCACATCTGCGCACCACGGAAAAATGAATGAACTGGCCAGTGGTCACCTGGCCGCCGGGCCGCCGGGAAGCTCGCCTGCACGGACAGCCTGTGGCCGACCAGCATGCCCAGCGTTGGCTTGGATGTCCTGTCCACACAGAGATATGCTAGACGTTTCCAGAGCAGGCTCCACAGTGCGAATGAGTGATGGAAGACACGACGATACGAGTACCTGCGGTCACGAAACTTCAGAGAGACTGGGTTACAGAAAATCGGTTTTCTTTCCATGGAACTCAGTACCCTCAACACGTAAACACGCACTGTGGATTTTCCAAGGGAGGAGACTGTATTTGACTGACCATAGAACTAGTCCTCCCCAAAGAATTAGTATTTCAAAAGGATAATGTATGAGCCATCTTTGCTTTAAAAAAAAAAAAAAGCTTTAAAAAATATTCTGCCACTGTTTCTTACTGATTCACAGCTACTCTTTTCTTCCGCCATTCCATCACCCCCTAGACCAGGGATGTGCAAACATTTCTACATAAGGGACAATTCATAAAAAATGAAACTATTAGATTGTTCAAAGTGAAAGAGCTTTATTGCACTGGGTAGGAGATATTTTTTATGACTTAATTTATGTACCATAGTGGATTCTAAGGGTGATATTGAGGAGTAAGAAAATGCCTGATATGTAGAAAGTACCAATGAATATTCTCCCAATATAACTTCTTATAATTACAGTAGCCCCGTGAGATTAACTCCTATTGGCTCACTCAACTTACGGATGAGAAAATGGAGACTCCGAGTAGTTAAGGAAGTTCCCCAAAGTCACACAGTAGTACACAGTGGGTCAAGATCGGCTGACCCAAGAGTTTGAACTCTCAACTGGAAAAATTTTCCATGGACATGGCCCTGGGCCAAGCAGAAGGCAAAAGCTCACTTGGCAGCTTAAGTTGTACTAAATGCTTCATTTAAGGGTGCGGTTCTCTGGGCTGGATTGGACTTCAGTCCTACCGGCAGGGACACTATTGGACCAGCTCTGAATAGAGCACAGGTTTGTAACAACCTGCAATGCCTTCTGTACTACTGAAATAAGCCCTGTAAATGTGAACAAGACCTTCCCCAACCTAAAGTATGTCCACTTCCTCGGGACAGCCCAAAGTGGCTGTGAATTCATTCATTGGCTCATTCATTCATTTTATTCTCTTGTCAATGACTATGTCCAAAGTGCCAGTTAGAAGTTAGGAATTATAACATCGTGAATACTATGTTCAGCCCACAAAGACAAAAGTGTCCACGTTCCTCACTCAAACTCAGTGACTACCATCAAAGCATTGTGAATATTAAAAAGTTGGAATTTAAGCCCTGGCTGGTGTTGCTCAGTGGGTTGAGTGCCGGCCTGTGAACCAAGGGGTCGCCGGTTCGATTCCCAGTCAGGGCACATGCCTGGGTTGCTGGTCAGGTCCCCAGCCTAAGGTGTGTGAAAGGCAACCACACACTGATGTTTCTTTCCTTTCCTCCTTCCCTTCCCCTCTCTCGAAAAATAAATACATAAAATCTTTTTAAAAAATGAAATAAAAGGTTGGAATTTAAGATTAAGTAAGGTGTCTGTTTGATTTTTCAACCATAATCTTAAAAACTATTTTAATGTATCCTTTGTGCACCTGAAAATGGCCTTATACTATCCAGTCAAAAAATTGTTAGCATAATTAGTGATAATGTATGACTAGCACAGTGGCACTTAAACTAATGCACTTGTTCATCTGATGTTTACGTGGCTCTCTCACACCTTAGAGGAGGTAAGAGGTAAAAACCAAGGCTCAGGATGGCTAAGACCCTTACATGAAGTCCCACAGTCAATAAACTTGACCCAGGTATCCACATAACATTATTGTTGTTACTACCATACGCCAGGTCCCCCGTACCTGCATTGTGCTGAGACCTATGTCTTGCTTACCAAGTCTAAGGGTCTAACATACATTCCCAAGGCCATGGGAGGCGGGTGCAGACATGCATACATGTGGAAAGGCTCTAAGATTCCCACTTCATTGCTAACCTTGAACTGCAACATCCTACTATCTTGAGAATACTAATTCTATGTACTTTTGGTTGCGTTAGATATCTTTATAAAACAAGATATGGAGTTTGGAAAAATAATTTTAAGATTCCTCTTTTTCATGTCATGGTTAATAAAGGAGAGAAGCCATCCCATAGCTATTTTTTTTTAAAAAAAAGATTCCTCTTGTTTAAAATGAGTTATAACGGTTTTCCTTGCAGTATATTATTTTCTTGAGCAGCCATAATTGCCAGGAACAATGAGGCAGTAATAGTAATAATCATAATAACAGCTGACACTGTGCTAAGCGTTTTTCACGTACTATACAGATGCCCCTCACCCGCTCTGTGAAGTGGGTACTTGTCTCACAGATAAGGAGGCTGAGAGATGGAAGATTTAAAGCATTTGCTCAAGGTCAGACGGTCTGTAAGGAACTCGTCATCCGCCCCAGGGGATGCAAAGCCCAGGAATGAGTGATCCCTGCCTTGGGGAACCCAGAGTGCAGTGTCACCAAGGCAGAAAGGGTGCTTGGTGGTGAGTGACCCACTGGGTGGCAAACAAAAATATTAAAACCTCCATTGCTAACATGAAAATAATAAGAAGGACCTATTTACTATACTATTGACGCTGCCTGTCCTGGTCTGTCTGCAGGTCCTCGGCTCACTTGCCATGCAGAGAGGTCTAACTAGCCTGATGGAAAAGTGGGGACTTACAACATGCGGGTGACAGTGGGGTTGCCAGAGAAAAATACAGGACGCCCAGTTAACCTTGACTTTCAGACAAACAACAAACATGTTTCAGTATCAGTACGATCCAATTGTTGCATGCTTATGTAGCATTGCTAAATCTGGCAACCCTACGGCTGATATCCTTTCTCTGTCCTGTGTTTGTTGAGGGGTTTGTGTCTGCCAGACTGAGTTCATTCACTGATTGCAGTACTTCATTTTGCCAAACCCAGTTTTCCCTGATGGTAGCACTTTTGTGTATTTCATGCTTATTGCCCTTTGGGACCTTGAGACCATCACTGAGGAGGTTTGGGAGGGTAAGGAACCACATGGAACAGAGGGGAGCGGTCCTAGAACAGCTCAGCTCCCCAGTCCGACAGGCAGCAGACATTGTGAGGGCGGCCATTCTATGACACCCAGCAGCTGCCCCACTGAACACAGGTGCCTCAGAAAAGCCAGCAGTGACCAGCCTGCCTGGTTTCATGTAGAAGATGATGATGTAGGAAAAATATGGCTGGGGCGGGGGAGGCTGTGCAGGTTTGGGGGTAGGGGGGATATGGAAATTCTCTGTACCTTCCTCTCCATTTTGCTGTGAACCTAAGACTGCTCTGTAAAAAATAAAGTCTTAAAATAGTTTTTTAACAGTTCATTGCTTAAAGCCACTACATTTTGGGGTGGTTTATTACACAGAAAAAGCTAACTGATACACGGAGTGAAGGCATTGATCTGGCTAGACCTTGCGTTGGTCTTAATTTTTTCTTTCTTTTGGCCAGCACTTAATCTGCTTTCTGAGACTTTGTATTCTAAAGCAGGGCCGGAGGGGGGTGGGGAGGGGTGGCGGGAACTGGATTAAAAAATAGGTGGAAAAAGAAAAACCAAAAGAGAAAACATCTAATTGCTTTCACTTTTTTCTTTAGTTTTTCACTCCTAGAATTCCACTGGTGTTCACCTCTCTTCCACAGGTACACGTATATTTTCTTGTTTCTTCTGTTACAAAAAAACCCGACTGTATTTTACACACGTGGTAAATTACAGGGGCTACATGCACAGAGGCGAACCTGTGGTTGGAAACTTTTAATTGGGCATACAAGTGGCCACCTAAATGCTCAAATTAAATGGTTAGCCATCCAACCGCGGCATTGTTAACGCAGGGGAAATTTCTCCCACAACTTGTCATGGTCTCAAATGGTGCCTTAAGTTCACTCTTCACAACAGTAGCTAAGATAGACAGTATTCATTCATTCATTCATTCATTCATTCATCCACCAACACAGTTCACTGCTGCCTCCTCTGTCCAGGCACTGTGCCAAGCGGTGTGGAATCCAGCAGAGGACACAACCTAACTGGTCCCTGGCATTAGGAGCTTGAATTCTACACCCCAAATGCTTTGACTTTTTTCATTTCCTCGGCTAGGGTCAAATCAAGGAAGCTGTATGAAGCACCCACCCTTTGAAGAGAGCTAGAGGAAATGAGAGTGAAAAGAATATTTTAAGACTTGGTTTGGGCAATTCTTCACGACACCAAATAGTGCATTCCCCTCATCTTTTCTCCCCATGGGAATCGCCTGCTGATTTGAGTGGATAAAGAATACATTGTTTTGAGCACCAGAGAGGCATCAAGCACATGATGCCCTGTTCGGATCTAAAGCTAAGCCTCACATTCAGTGCAACTGAAGAATGGTAACCGCCGCCCACATAACGGAGGTTGCTCAAATGCTGGTAACTCAGAAGAAAGGCATCATGGCTTTGAATTACTTGGATGACTATCTCAATGTCCCTCCATCATTATGACTGGAAGAGGGGGGTGGGAGGGAACGTGCAGACATTGCTTTGTTCATTGAATCAGTGACTGTTGAGCTATGTCTCCGCCGCTGTGCCGAATGCTGGGGACACAGCAGTGAAGAAAACGAGCTGGAATGCCTGCCCTCGTGGAACAGTCATTTTAAGCTAAAGAGGCCGCTTCATGAACACAGTAAATAAGAAAAATACAGATCGCCTGAGATCACCATGAGTGCTGTATAGGAGCATCCATAAATTCCAACTGTGATGTTTTACAGATGCCATTAACTGTGTAACTGCCAGACACTCCCAATAAAACCCTAATCGTTTTTTTTTTTAAGTAATTACAGCTTTTTTTTTTAATTTTGCCCCGAGTGGTATGTTTCTCTCCCTCTCTTTCTCCCTCCCTTCCCCTCTCTCTAAAAATAAATACATAAAATCTTTTTAAAAATACGTTTTTAAAAGTTCTTCAGAGTTGACAATATTATATTTGTTTCAGGTGTACAGCATAGTGGTTAGACATCTATATAACTTACACGGCGATGCCCCTCCCCTTCCCCAATTACGTCACTACCCACTTCTAATCATCTTTTTCATAGCAAAGCAAATACTGAGCACCTTTCTGTCTTTGTTCAGGTCAGACCGACAGATAGATGTTGAACTCCAGGGGGGTCAAAGGTGAAGGGTACACTTCCTGCCCCTAAGGAGCCTTACTAGGCCCACCAAGTAAACACATCATTTCAATACTACATGGTAGTCCCTGAATAGCGGTGACGGCCGGTCGCTACAGGAACACAAATGCTTTCTGGAAACTCGTGAGTTTCCTCCTGAAGTAGAGGCAGGGGTTGGTCCAACAAGGAGGCGAGAGAGGGACATTCCAGGTGGCGGAACAGCCCCGAAAGGCCAGCAGGCCGGCACCCCCTCGTTGAAGGGGGTGGGGGGGTGGAGGCAGATAGGAAAGAGCTGCCGACTCCCAGATATTCCCGGATGGTAAAATGCAGAGCGGGTATTTTTCGCCATGACAGGTCTAGCTAAGACCATCGAATCTGAAGGCTGGAGCGCCGAGTTATGAACTGCCGTCGGGCTCTGTGGCAGACAAATGCTGTGCAAAAATAAAAACAGCTCTTCTTCACTCCCAGTGAAACCTGCTCCCTTTTCAAAAGCTTTTAAAGAAAATGCCTCTTTAGCATGGGATCCGTTCCACTGATTTGTTTTTTTAAGAAAACATCTCTCCTAAAGAAAGAAAAGCCATCTTTGATCTGACTTGACAAAAAAGATCTAACCAACAACATCTACGAGGAGGGAAAAGAGAGAGGGAGAGAGTAGCGAGCTTCTCTGAGCCACATCAAATGTATGAAAGAGAAAATGCTTCATTTAAATACTGAAAACTAACACAAAACAGCTTGAAATGCGATAGCCCCTGCTGAATAAAGTGAAACCACATGTCGATCTGACAGCAGTTTCTGGGACACAATTAAAGGTCACTTCGTGTACAAACATCTCATTCCTCACCGGGAGGCTGGGATTGTCGTCAGTAGTGTCGGCCACTGTGGGGCAGGTGCTGCAAGCAGTCAGGGTCCCTGTAGGTGCTGGAAAGGGGGATTAAGGTAACACTCCACCAACCAAAAGCCTGAAACCTAACCACCCCTGGAGATGGCCAACAGCCCTGGAGTTCAGCTGTCCCTGCCTTGAAATCCTGGAAGACAGGACTAAATAAATGTCTGAATCCTCAAGAATGGGAAGTGCCATCCCTCTCACGATTGGGGCACAACTCAGAAATACAGCTCCTTTTCTGTTCTGTCCACCTTTACCTTACAGGCCCCTGGGGGCGCAAAAAAGAGAAAAGTTGGGAGCATTTGAACTCTCGTTCCTCAGCAGATGTCATCGGCTGGGCTCAAGTAAACTCATAAAAATTTTTTAGAGAGAGAGAAGTTGAGGTGCCTTCTTTGGGAAGGAGGAGTGTTGCA